AAGTTGTACTTACGCACAATCTACTTGTAGTATTGAGTTTTAAGTAACATGCATTAATAAACAGTACATTATGCATAAAAAATATTTTTAACAGTTTTTATCAAATGATTTATAATATAGTATAGATAGATAGAATTTGTTAATTAATTATTATTTAATTTTTATCTTGTGATTTTATTATAATAAATATGTTTAAAAAAACGTTTAAATTTGAATTCATGTAACTATCGAGGATTTAGGGTTGTTTACCAAATATTTATTTGATGTTATTTATCTTACGTTTAAATCAGAATTTGGACACTTGATTATTTTTAATCTCAAATCAATCTATGAATTATGTTTTTAGAAGGAAATTGATATAGCATATCTCATTAGTGTTGATCTAGTGATTATCTTTAATTAAAATTGATCCAACTGTGGAAATTTTGTTTTATTATTTTTATCATAACTTTTATTCTTATTGAAAATTAACGGTAAATATTTAGTAAACGGTTTCCAAATGACACTTATTTACAATTATTGGAAGTAGGGGTGCTCAAAAACCCGACCAATCCGATCAACCCAACCCAACGCGAAATAACCCAACCCGAAGCAACTCGATGTCTAATCGAGTTGTAAAATTGTCAAACCGTATGTATTGGGTTGATATTGGGTTACTATTATTTGAACTCAACGCAACCCGATAAACCCGATATCCTTTTATTTCTTGGATTTAATATGATTGTTGAATTTCTATTAATATATACATTAGACAATTACGCTATCATGTATGTTTTTCATATACACATATTATCAATCTATTCATATATATGTTCAGTAACTATGAACATATATATGTAAATTGAGAAAATTAACTAAATGTAATATACATAAGAAATATGGATAAGTTATACCAAATGGTTGATGATAAAAAATTATGAGTAGAAAAATAATATATTCAAAGTTAGAAGAATATTTTAATATACCAAAATATCAACCCGACCGACCCGTACATGTTGTGCTGGATTGCACTTTGATTTGAGTTGAGTTAAGATTTTTCTAAACTGCAAGCATTAAATTGGGTTATTCAAATATGTTTAACTCGATCAAGTCGACCCATAATGACCCCTAATTCACATAATAAAATAGTCTAAGTCAACTAGTGCAAGTTGTAAGTAGGAAAATAGAAATATAATCTTTCTTTTCCGTTGAGACATTATAGATGCCAGGCTAATAAAACACCTTCAAATATTCCTGTTGCTATCATAAAGCCAACTCATTCCAACACATTTTCCTGCTTATAAGAACCCCATAACTCTCCACCACCACCACCACCCACCGCCACCACCACCACCACCACCATGGCTTTCTCTCTCACACTACCCTCTCTCATCCTCCTATCCCTTACCCACCTCCTCTTCCTCCTCCCATCTCCGACATTATCCCAATCTGCTCCAGCTCCAGGCCCCGCCGGACCCATCAATCTCACCGCCATACTTGTTCAGGCCGGCCAATACACCGCCTTCCTCCGCCTCCTCAACCAAACCCAAGTCCTTACTCAACTTCCAAACCAACTCAACAACTCCAACCAGGGTATGACTCTTCTTGCACCCACTGATAACGCCTTCCTCAACCTCCCCGCCGGAACTCTAAACAGCCTCAGCCAGGAGAAGAAAGTGAAGCTGGTACTCTACCATGTCCTCCCAAAGTACTACAGCTTAGAAGATCTGAACACCGTCAGCAACCCCGTTCCGACACAGGCCGGAGGAAGCAAAGGGTCGTTGGGTTTGAACTTCACCGGAAGGGGGAACCAAGTGAATGTGTCCACTGGAGTTGTGGATACTCAAATCAACAATGCATTGAGACAGCAGTTTCCGTTTGCTGTTTACCAGGTTGATAAAGTGTTGTTGCCGGCGGAGTTCAGTGAAGCTCCGGCGCCGGAGGGTTCTTCTTCTTCTCCACCGGTGAAAGGGAAGACACCTGCTGCTAAGGGACCGAGTTCGCAGGCGGCGGATGGAGATGGGTCGTCGCCGGCGAATAATGGAGGTGGAAGGAGGATGGATATGGGGTTGGGTTTAATGGGTGGTGTTGTGCTGTTTTGCATGACGTTTCTATGAGGTGATTTTTGAGATGGTTTTGAAGCATTCCACGTACATTTATGTAATTTTCTTGTTCTTTTTTTTTCTTCCCATTTTTTGTAATAAATGTTGGTCCTTTGGATTCATGATTGATAAAAATTAATAAAAGCATTGGCAAATGGCAATGGTGATAATATAATACATACATATATATATATATATATATATATATATATTAACCTGAATATCTAACCCGCTATGCGAGTAGACTAATTTCAAAATGACCACCTGCTTTACAGATTGCCTGAAGTCACTGCATTTGAACCTCTGTGGCCATTTTGATTTGAATCTGAGACATCCTGATACTTTGACCTTTGGAGCCAAGCTCAAACCAATCAGGCATTAAATTTATGGGTCATATGAAATGATCACCAAATTTGTGGACGTAGGGCTTTGATGACGTTTACTTGGTATTATTATCGTTCAATTTGAAGATTCGATAAAAGTGCCAGACTTTAATGTTCACTTGAAAAACTGTCTCATTGAAGTTTTGCAGGATTGTTGGATATGCTATTGGAGCATCAACATCCCAAAACCTATATCAGTTGTACATATCATTATTTTATTTTATAGATTATGTTTTATATTTACGAACTTTAATTTTATTTTTATAAATTATATTTTATGTTCAAGAAGTTCATTATATATATATTTTTCTGTTACATTATTGTTAAATTAACAAAATAAAAATCTTAATAGAACCAGTGGCGGATGCAGAAAAACTTATCGTAGGGGGCATGATATAAGATAAAAATCAATGGTTTATCTTTATCAATAGTAACATTTTCATTTGCCTACAAAATTACAAAATTAACCTAACATTTCCATTTGCCTATAAAATTGCAAAATTAACCTAACATTTGTATTTGCCAATAAAATTGCAAAATTAACCTAACATTTTCATTTGTCTACAAAATTGCAAAATTAACCTAACATTTTCATTTGTCTACAAAATTGCAAAATTAACCTAACATAAGCATTCACCAAATCACCAATTATGAAGCAAACAACAAAATCAAAGTCATTGAAAATTAAAGATTGGAAATCAAAACTTTAGGTTTTTACCCGATTTGGAGTAGCAGTACAGTAGTTGCAGCCGCAGGAAGCAAGCAGTGGCAATGCACGCTCACGATGCACTGCAGGTCCAGGAAGCTGGAGCCTAGAAGCAGGAAGGCCGAAGGCAGAGGAAGAAGGAAGAGGGAGGGAGTAATGGCGATGTGCAGGAAGCAGTGATTATAATTAAGAATTGGAGATTGAGTAACATTTATTAGTTTTCACTTTTATATATTAATTTTAATTATGTTAATATCAAGGACGATAATTAAAAAATTGGAGATCGGGTAACATTTGGAAAATATGAGGATATTGTGAATGTAGAAAATTTTGGAAAATTTGTTGGTATTTGAGAACATCGGGGATATGGAGAATTTGGGTGCATTTAAGAGTCTACTTAATTCTCAGTGTTCTTTTTTCATTTTTTTGAAAAAGATATATGAGGAATGAGTTTTATTGTATCGTCTATATATATAGGGGTTGTTTGAGATTGCTTATCAAAACTGCTTTTTAACTTATTTCAGTCTGACACCAAAGATAAGCTGTTTTTTAGTGTTTTTGTAAGGAAAAAAAACTGCTTATACTGGTGCCAAACCGGTAATAAGCAGTTTTTGATAAGTTAATCCTTCTTGACTTATGAAAAAATGTTTATTATTAGTTTACCATTTTAACCTTGTTTTATTAATGTTTGTTAATTATTAATCTTATTGATATAATTTTTTGTCAAAAATATTATTATAAATGATGAAAAATAAATTTTTACATGTTAAAAAATCAAATAAGTTAATAATCAAAAATATTATTATATGGAAGAGTGTCTTTTTTGGTCATTTTATAAAACTCCGATTTAATACCATATAAGTTAATAAACACTTTTACAAAAAAAACATAAGTTGTTTTAAATAAGCAATCCCAAACACCCCCATAGAAAATTTGATGTATATAAAAAAAGTTACAATTTAAAAATTAATTTTAATTTATATATGAAAGTATTTAGAAAATAATCAAAACATAATAATATAACAAGATAATCAAAAATTAATCTTACTTAAACAAAATTCAAAAACTTGCATAGAAATTTACAAAAAACGAAAAAATAAAACAAAATTCAAAACTTGTATAGAAATTTAAAGGAAATGAAAAAATATGACAAGATTAATAAATATATATTTTATAATAATTAATTTATATTATTTTGTATCAGTTTTAACTTGTCTGTTTTATATATTTATTTAAAACAAAATAAAATGATTATAATTTTTTTAATAAAAACAGTAATGAAAAAGGATTGTAATCAAGAACCTTGGTTCTTATTCAAGCATTTGGGTTCTTATTAGAATCTGTGACTGGACAAGAACTTTTGTTCCACAGTGAAGGTTCTTAAAAAATCTTCAACATTAACTTCAATAAGGACCTCCATTGTGAATGCTCTTACAATCTAAACTATCACAACTTTGATAAGGGTGCACACCGTCGAGTTGGTCGGTAGGTATCAACCAGAACCATTGTTTGTGATTTGAAAATTTTCAATCAAACGCAACTTAATTAAAAGTACAACCCAACCCAAAATCGTACGAATTAGATTAATTAGGTTGGATTGGTCGCATTAAAACTTAATTTATGATAGTATATTGCACAAAGTGGTTTGAGCCAAAGAGAATATGTCAATCAACAACAACCGTTTCAGATGTCTCCAACTTTGATGTGTTCTTTGCCTTAAGTTTAGTTCGTCATTTGTTCTGCAACTAACCACAAATCAACCCCACCACCATGTAATCCCAATTCAAAGTCCAAGGTATTCATGTTGTTTTTTTTATTAACCTGGATATCTAACCCGCTAAACGAACCGATAAATCTCAAGGCGACCACCTGCTTTGGGTATTCATGTTGTTGATATCCCTTGAACAAAAACACATAATATTTTTATTTAAAGATTGTTAATTTTTGTTATTAAATCATTTCACCAACTCTATGCCTATCGGTTTCTTGTTTTTCTCAGATTTTAAGGAATTTCAACCAAGTGTTTAGAGGTGTATAGATGGTGATCGGGTTGGGTTGGTCGATTTAAAAAACATCTAACAACCCAATCAGATTTCTTTGATTTAAAAAATCTCAATCTAATCCAATTCAAACAAAACTACAAGGATTGCGTATGGACAATATTAAAACTGTCATTTTCAATAGTATCGTTGCTGTCTTTTTTACAATATAACTTAAACTACATGATCATTTAAAGCCCAACACGATCCATAAAAAAAAGTTTGAAAAATGAGGAAAAAAAAAATCAAAAAACTGTCGGAAATCCTCCGGAAATCATTAAGTTTTTTTAAAATCTTGAATAATTATTACTAGCTGATTACTGGCAGCCCTCCGGAATCCGCTGGAAAATATAAAAAACAAATTTTAATAAAAAAATCCGTCGTAAATCCGCCGGAAAATTATTATAGTTAGAGTTAGAACTAGAGATGGCCAAATGGGCCTGGCCCGGCCCGTAACCGCCGGAGGACCGGAACCGG